TTGTAAACTACGTTTAAAGGTGCTATATAAATAAAGCTATTATTCAAATTATTATTATTATTTGGGATAACTGTGGACCATTCATAAAACAGATCAAAGCCATAGTTAGCAAAAATATATTCAGGAATAAGATGAGGGATCAACTTCCGTCATTTGTTATTCAAGCCACGTGTAATACCTACCATAATAAAGTTCAGAATCATTTCCTTGATTTCTTGCAAATATATTATTGCACATAACCTATTTTAGGAAAAGTTATTTTTGGTGGCAGGATTCTGGAAGTTACAACTAGGTTAAAGGAAAGGGATCAAACTATTTTCCTCATGTGTGGCAGCATGATGAAGTGTTCTTAGATGATGATGCTGAATCCAATAACACTCCAGCACTTGTAAAGAACTTTCTGGATTTTCCAGGCAGCAGGAGGCTGGATACTCCTGTTTTGCTTTAAGTAGCTCAGATTTCAAAATCTGGAGCAGTCAACATGACGCCTTCTGACAAAACGCACCATGGCATGAGCAGCATGGCTGCTTACATCATAAAACTAGATACAGCGGTGCTGCTCAGTATTGCAGTGAAACATTCCCCTGCAGTCCAAAAAACATTTCCCCCATACCCAACCATTATAAAACAAACTTGTGACAGGACACCTCGAGCTGCAAGCACGGGCAATTATGACATCTTCCTATTATAAAGTTTTGATCCATGGTTTTAGTCTTCCCTGGAGCCATGTAGACCCATACAAAGAAGCCATTATGCAGACTCAAATGATTTCTGAGCCAAAGCTTCTTCAGAAGTGTCTCTGTTTATGGGAAAGAGAAAGTGGGAGGACAAAGTGAAAGGCATAGTGGAAAGTGAAACCATTTTGGTTTTTCTATTTTTAAAACTTCCCTTGAGCCGAGAGAAGCAATTTAAACATCTGTGATGTAATCACAATGTAGTCCATGGGCCAAGCAGGAACTGGCAAGCAGGACCAGCAGGAGAAACATAGTGTGCATATTCACTGACAACAGAGATGTAAACCCAGAAGCTAAAATCTCCAGGAGCCTGTCTGAAAGGGCCCTTGATGTACCGTCTCTCAAAGCCAAAAAGGCAGCCGCAGAATTCCAGCAGATGATATTTTTAGGGCGTTTGACCTGCTTTATTCATCACATAGTAGATACAATTGCCAGTAGCAGACATACTATTAGATATGCTGATGCTCTGGTAGAGCTGAAGATTAGCCTCATACATCCAATACCCAGTTTTCCCAGACAGTTGGTCCTTAGATTTATAAGTAAAAGTCTGTAAATACTCTTGTAAAATGATAACAAGAAAGATTCTGATTAATAAATTTACCTCAGGATCAGGGAGAAACCAGGAACAAGAGACCAGATCTCCCCAAATCCTCCACAAGTTTTTGGTTTGTTTCTGTTTGCAGGGTGATCCCCCCCCAAGTAAAGCCAAGAAAGGCGTACTAAAAGCTCCACAGCAAAGTCTCAGGGCCTTTGCTAAGAATAGAATAAGCAACACAACACACTCATACTGAAGCAGATCCCATTATGGCTTAATAAATACTGAACAAGGTCTCTCTCTCTGCCCCCTAATTACTTCCAGCAAAGCAGAAGTCAAGGATCATGAATTTTCTTCCAGATATTTTCTTTCAGTGGAAATCCTAAATCCCCACTTATGTGCCCACTGAACAACCTGATCCGGGGCCTTTTAAATTTCACAGAACACATGTCCAATGTTTTTCTCTCTCCTCTAGATGGCGTCATCATCTGCAAATAAAACTTCCCAAAACCTTACAGTTACACACTTTTTAAAAATATAAGAGTACCCCCACACTTCCTTATTGATAATAGCTTTTCTAATATCCTACATTCAATATTTTACATTTGTAGGGTCTAAAGCAGTTGTTCCCAATCTCTTTCCCTAAGGGACCCTTTTTCTATCACTGAGTAAACTGACAACTCCTGACTCAGAGATATAATTTATGGGTATTTCATATTGTATTTGATGCATAACAATAACAGTACAGAACAACTAATGAACTGTACATTTAAGCCAAAAGTGAATACAATAACTGTATGAAGTTTGTGTAAAATTAGCAATTTGGATGAATTCAGTGTTTTCTTCTCATTGTTGGCTCTCTATTAGCTCTTTGGTTGTTTCTAATGCAGGATAAGGCTGTTCATCAGAGAGGGACGGCTCTGTGAATATAACTTGTGTTCAGGTCTTTAAAGTTTATACCTTAAATAATAATCTAAACAATGAAACTATCTATTTAATTTTGTTCTCTTCACATAAATGAATGAAATGCTGAGATATAGGCCTACTGTTTATATACACTATTTATACCTCCTAAAATTAAGAAGACCTTGCGACCCTTCATGAAGCTTTGGCAGGTTAGGAACCACTGGTCTAAAGACAACATCATGCCACAGAGAAAAAGCTATGATGACTTCATATGATGGTCTGAAGACTTGAGGACTTGATGTCTGAGGGTCATCATATGAATGTTGACCTGAAAGTTCTCATAGCTTTATTCTCTGTTTCCTGGTGTTGTCTTCACTCAGTGATCATGTAAGTGGTTTAGGTATGATGGACAGTCAGACATTATCAGGTCACAGCATTCTCATCTACTTCACCTGTAATTTTATTATTGGGGGTCTGGTGTGAGGTAAACATTTTTCTATCAGCAGCAGTAGTGTAGTGGTTCCTGAATAAGTCGGTATACTCTTAACTTATGCCCCCAATCTTTGTGGCCCATCCAAAGGATAAACACCCTGCATACCCTAAACTGGGCCAGCAGTATTTGCATTGTATTTGCTGCTTGACTTTAGAGAGTAAGGAACATTATGAAATTAAAATAAACCACAGAAGAGGAGTAGGTTTTTGCAATCAGTACCCTACATAATTATGCATTTTGAGTCAAGTATTCCTTATTCTTTGCCTCCGCCATCCTAAGAAAAAACATTCAGCTCACAGAGCTCTGACCTGAATTTACCCTACTGAATGATGCAGAGAGGAATAGGAAGTGAATATACTCCATACACCTGCATATATCCTGCACTGTTCAGCCGCCACAGAGCTGCAGCATTAATAACCAATTTTCTATCTATCTATCTATCTATCTATCTATCTATCTATCTATCTATCTATCTATCTATCTATCTATCTATCTATCTATCTATCTATCTATCTATCTATCTATCAATCTATATACAGCTGCTTTTTATTCATTGTCTTTATTTTCACAATTTGTACGTTTTTACATATTGGGGGGAGAGTATTGCAGTTTTTGTGTCCAATTAAAATATACAGCTTGGAAGGCCCTTCCTTTTTTATGAAATTACATGGAAATTCAACCCCTCTCCTCACCAATAAGTCTCTCCTGATTGAAATTTGTGGTTGTGATGCCAAAAATTAAAGAAGTTGATAAAGTTCTTTCAGAGAACAAAAACTTTGAGTTACTGCGGTTTAGGAATATTGTCTCTATTTTTACGCTTTTATCTGTAATTTGTGACTGCAGAAAGATTTGTTTCTTTGGAATTAAAACTGAAATCCCTTCCTTTTTCATTTCCTGTTTTTGTTTCTATTTTTTTTCCCTTTTACTTCCTTCTTAGCTTGGTTTTGATGCCTCATCATTATCTGAAATATAATTCTATCAGTGTATGCATTTATCAAACAATATGATTTCTTCCTTGGATGCACAAGGTACCTATCTCATAAAGCGGTGTCATGTATACCACTCTGCAATATTCATTCGCTTTTTGCTTGAAGTAAATGGCTAAATACAGTTATGCTTATCTTTTAAGAAGTTGAACTTTTTTAGTCACGTGAGTGGTGTGACCCATTAATTAATGGAGGGAGATACATTTTTAAACAGCCATTCATGTAGGTGGGATTGTATGATCAGGTGAACAGGTCAGTGGGAGGCGCTTAGGTCAGAAAAGGCTAAGCCTTAAGTGTGGTAGGTCTCCTTGTCTTCCTTATCTTTGAGGCACACACTGAGGTTTGGAATAAGAGACATGCAGTGATTTTAAAGTGTCAGATCTTTGTACTTATCTTAGGAAAGCAGCAGCCCTCTCAACTCAAACATGTGGTAATTTAAAGTATCTTATTGTTGTTTCCTGTCCTCTGCATTCCTGTGCAGAGGAGGGCAGGAAGTGATCTTTCACATTGGAAGAACTATCACAACATGTCAAAGTGCCTGTTTTATGTTGTTTACGGTAGCTCAAACCTAAACCACGAGGAGCTTTACTTATGTAATGCTTCATAAGAGGGGAAAAATGCAAGAAATTGAAAGAAAAACGCTTTGTGAGAACTTCAGTGGATTAAGTTGCCATACAAAACAGCCAATTTTAAAAAGTCAGTTTAAGTTTATGCTGTTAAGTCAGATTTCCTATGAGAAGTATGGAGATATACATTTTATATCTGACTTCACATACGCCACTTTAAAATCACAAACCTCTATGCCCCCTCAAGATGATTTTAATCACTTTGGTTCATCTAGCCATCAGTTGGTTAATTTATCCAATATTTACTTGTGACCTAACGACATTCCCATCATCATCAGCTCTACTTTGTGTTTAGTGCTAAGCTCAGCATGCTAACATGCTAAACAAAGCTGTGCTCTAGTCTGTTTTTTTTGTGAATTAGTGAATCAATTTCGTTTTCAGGTGTGGTCACAGTCAGTAGACATAGAAGAGCAATGACACAAGTTAACATCTCTTCAATTAAGTGGAAGTGGTGTTGTCTGGGATCACAAGACTGTTTGGTTGTATAATGTATGAATTAGTATAATTTTTACTAAATTTATTCTCCTATGTACTGTATTCAGTATTATAAAGAAGCCATTCTGCAGAGTACATTGATTGTCTGGCCCAAAACTTCTGGAGAAGTGCTTCTGTTTCTGGGAAACAGCGTCATTGAAAAAAATAGGAAGGGTCAGAAAAGTAAAAGGCTAACTGAAAGTGAAACTATTGTGTCACATTGCACAGCAGCCCTGTGTCAGTGTGTGGGCTCAGAGTATAAAAGAGAGAGTGATCCCTTGTTGCTGTACACCATCAGGAGTCCAGCCTGAAGAAAGACACAGAGGAGAGTGAGCCAGAACCTGTCTACAGCCACAACCATGAATCCAGCTGCCATTGCCTTTCTCACCTGCCTGTTTGTCTTCAGTGCACAAGGTACTGTCAACAGTTTAGTGTTCTGTGATTATGTTGTTGTTGTTATCTTCAATCTCAATATGCTCACCTTTCCTCTCACTGTATGTTCATATGGACTGTTTTGCAATAAATGCTTCATCTGACATTGGTTTGAATTTTAAGAACAATATACCGTCTTGTTTTGGGTTGGGGATGGTTGCCTGCAATAACAATTCTGTTTAATTGGAATATAACTTTAAAGTTAATAAGGTTGTGTCTTTCTTCCCACAGGGCTACCAGCCAACAGATCTAATACGTGCAAGTGTTTAAATGGTTACCTCAAGCATATCACGCCACAGTCCATCAAGGCGGTACAGGCTGTACACCTCCCAAATATCTTCTGTCCACATACAGAGATTATGTGAGTATATGAGCTGGATTAAGTCACATTTACTGACATGTCATTGTCCAGCCTCTCTCTAACAAAGCTCTTTCTTCTCTCCCAGTATTACAACAACAGCAAATAAGGACAAATGTGTGGATCCAAAGTCTAAACTTGGAAAACTCATTCTGAATAACATGAACAAGTAAGATCAGCTGAACTGCACCAACTACAGACAACATAACACAGTGAATACTGTCACTGATTCAGATCTGCAGTGCTTTTTACTAATAGTGTCATATGTTGATTCAGGCAGAAGAAGAATGGAGCCGTGAGCACAACGACGGCTTCAAGCTCAACAAGACTCTACACAACATCCAGGCTGTAAGTCTCTGCACTGAAGAGGAAGTCAAATACTGCTGTTGTCATAGAAGGAGTTGTTCATCACCGTTGGACTCCGTCCATATCATCTACCGAGAGAGATCCCGCACGTCATCATCGGTGTCGTACATCCCTCCCTCTGCAAACCCAACATCCTGCTATATGCCTCTGGTGAAGAGGAAGCCTGCGACCACTTTACACTTGCCATTTTTGCACATTAGAAAGTGGGACTTTAAATTAAACTATATATATATTATTAATATATGTATGTCTATTTCATATGGAGTATGTAACAAAAGTAATTTCCCCCTGGGATTATTAAAGTATGTCTGATTCTGATTCTGATTACCTTTATCATGTAAATACAATAAGTGATCAAAATGTTGTCGATGGCCAGTCTTCTGTTTGTGTTCTCTTAACTTAAACTGTCTTCACGTGTACATATGGAGTAAATAATCTGTATATACTTTTTAATAAAACACCTGATGGGACTTTCTGTGCTCTGTGTTTTACATGTTAACATAACCCACACTGAACCTATGCTCACATTCAACCGTTAGTATATTCTAAACTGTACATGGCCAAAAGCATGTGCACATGCAATCATCCCACTGATGTTCTAGTAGTTAAAGATGTCACCATGGGCATTAATGTGCCCAGTAATCAGCCTATGTAGGAAGCTGGCTGTTGGGATTTGCTCTCATTCAGCCTCAAGAGCATCAGAGAGGTCCAACACTGATGTTGGGTGATGTTGGGTGACAAGGTCTAGCTCACAATCAGCATTTCCAGTTGATCCCGAAGGTGGGTTAAGGTCAGGGCTGTGCAGGTCAGACAAATTCTTCCACACCAATGTGGGGAAACCATTTCTGCACTAGTTCAAAATTAAAACTTGAGTTGTAGTGCTGCCTAGAAGACCATCCTCTATCACAACAATCAAACATTAAAGCTGCAGTCGGTCACTTTAATACAACTATTAAGGTTTTTTGACATATTTGCTGAAACTTTATCCTGACAGTAGTACATGAGACAGATAATCTGGGGGAACAGTATAGTATTTTGGAAATTAAAAGGTTTAGTATAATTATAATGAATAATCTAAGTGATGTATGAGAATGTGTGCATACCAAACATATGTTAAAACATTTTGGTTTGGGAGCTGAAAGAGCTGGTTCTTATTGCTGATTGAAGCCAAATGATGAATGATGAAAGAGCTGGAATTCCCATCACTAAAGTACAGGCCTTTGAGAACTTCTCACTGCCATGGTAATCTCTGAGTAACTGGGCTTTGTGCTTGATGTGTGCTGTGGTTTCCCACGAGTTTGTCCTTTCAGAAAAGGACAAAGGGTGGGCAGATATTACAAGAGTCAAAGCTTTCATTTAGTGTTTAATTCTAGTCTCCAGCTAAAGTTAAATAACGTGTATATCTTGTTATATCACCATGGGGACGGAGTAAATAAGGACTGCATGCCTCTGCATTCACAATAGAAAGAACCTTGTTTCTTTTTGTACAGTCATTGTTTGTAGTTGAAAGATGTTCATGTTCACAACCCTTTCACGATCTACGAAAAGCAGCTACGGTTGTGCTGTTGAGTTGATCAAAAGGATCTGAAACGCCCTTACAATCCCTGAAGTACAATTTCTTAAGCTTTTAAAGAGCAGGGAATCCTTTTGAATACAGCTGACGTTATAGCAGGAAAGTGACCCAAAAAAGTGGAGCAGGGATTTTCATATGACAGCAGCAAAATACTGACCGCACTGTTCCTGGCCACAAGCCTGGGCTGTGTGTGTGCCAGTTCCCACACTGTAGGCAGTTCCATTTGTAGCACTCTGGTGAGGTTGACAACTGGACTGCAGCTGTTCTTTGTCTCTCTTCTCTTCCTGTTTGCAGTAGCACATTCATCCTGACCTCCCTCTATCTCTGTCTCTCTCTTCCTCCGGATGTCCCAGGCTAACCAGCTCTAGATTATTATAATATGATTTGTGACAAAGTGTTGAGTCACTTATTTGAAACACAGACAAGATGAAAAGACAGTTAAAGTATCTTCAGCTTAAGTTTTGTAAGGCAGAGTAGACCATGAAAGGTAAACCATTCCAATAAATAAACATGATAAAAAAGATGAGAAATGTAAAAAAGTAAAAAATGGTGAGACTAAACTGAATGAAACATAAAATGAATTCCACACAACACCGGATGCATGTTTGTAGCTGCAACAGGGTAGGCCAAGGGTATAATGAAGCCATGTTGGTATACATACAAGTTACATAAAACTAAGTGTTGACCATAAGTTTATAGACTCACACTGTATATATAAAATGTTGTCGCCTTGCCTTGCACAATATGACAAATACATATTTCAGGGTTGCAAAACTTAACATTAAATTTCACAATTTACTTAGTTTTTGTCATATTTACTGAAAATGTCTCTATATCCTGACAGTAGTACACAAGACCGAGAATGTATGACAAAATCAGGTTCTGCTGGGTCCTCCTAGTGCTCCTAATGGCATTTGCAAGAATCCACTGGCCTGGATGAAAACCAACAATCAGAGCCGAGAAAAATATAAAGACTTAAGCTGGAGGCTTGAAGATAGTTGATTGTTGAGTCTCATGTCCAGGGTCCCAAAGCATCTGTATTGCACACCCTGGGAATGAGACTCAGCAATCAACTGTCTTTCTTGGCTCTGATTGGTTGCTTTCATTGGACCAGAGCCAGAGATTTTTTTCACAGATTATCTTTCTAATGTTCTATTGTCAGTTATAGTGAAAGTTTCAGCAACAAAAGAATATTTTCACAAAAATTACCTACTAACAGCTTTAATAGAATTATTTGATACTTTGAGAAATATTTGCTTTTGTATCTATCTAATATTCAAAGTCATTCACTGTCTCGATCTGTCTTGTCTCTATCCTGCATGATCCCCTGCCTGCTCTTTGGACTTCTGCCTCTGTGCCAAACCCCTTTTTGGGGAAGTTTGCCTGTTTCGATCTGGTTTTGACTTTCACTTGTTTTTGCCAATGAGTTCACATGATTATCTACATAACCTGTACTGCAAGGTGTCATTGCAGAGGGGTTAGGGTGCACATTGAGGGAGGGACTTTCCCTCAAACTATTAGTTTCACATCAAGTTTCTCAGGAAATCTTAAGGGCAATGCTAAAGAAATTAAAAAGGGAACACATGCTGGCACTGCATTACATAAGTAAAGTTAATTCAGAACATGCCTCCAGAAGTAAAACTGGACTATACTATAATAAGCAATACAATGCACCCTTACACACACACACACTGTATAACTGATGAAAGTCATCATTTATAACATGATCACTGCAAAGCCTTGGAAACTCAGTGGGCTCCAAGTTTAACCATTCCGCAATGGTTTGGTGCATCTTCTGTTCATGCTGTGTTTTTACACAGCACAAACAAAAGCGTAGTGCAAATTTACTATAAGACTACCTCACATGAGACTAGCTACACCAGCAGTCAGTTTTAAAGCATTTACACTGAGAACAGCATGTTTTCTGAACACCAGTATGGTGGCTGTTAGAGGCTGTGACATCATCCGGGCTGTTGCATCACAAATGGGACTCACACTCATCCACACACGTGTCTATGTTTACAACGTCCTGTTGAGCAAGTCATGTCTGATTTGGGGGATTTCCTTCAAATCACACACAAACACAGAAGAGGAAATATCAAGGGAAGACATTCAAAACTGAAACTGAAATAACTGCATTCATTAAGCCCATTCAGCACAAATTGGATTATTTTCCACTGACTTGGTTAAATGGAGAAATAATTCACCTTCACTTGGTTTGAAGCCAACTTCAGCAATATCTGATTACTATATCGAGCTGTATTTATGTTAATATATGATATAATACAGTTCTAGCTGTGTCACAATATGATCCCTGTATTTATGATCTTGGGCTGTTTTTCTTTATCTTAAAAGGATTGCAACCTTTGTGTCCTGATCTGAGGGTTGTGAGGTGATTAACAGGAGAGGGAGGCAGAAAAACATATTTCTGCTACACAGAGTTGTGCTGATCTTTTAATCCTTCCCTGTAATTTCTTTCCTGTAAAGGCTATTTTATTTGTCTGGAAATGATTAATGTGCCCACCAAATTTAGTACATCTAAGTTGAGATACTAAAGTTGAAATTTTATAGGGGGTGCTATCGAGCCATTTTGCCAAATCTTTGCCCAAGACCAATATCATGATCCCCTGCCTGCTCTTTGGACTTCCCCCTCCCCCCCAACCCCTTTTAGGGGGGGTTTTTTTTTTTTAAATAGGAATTCTTGCCACTCTTGATGTTTATACCAGATTACGTAAGTCTCAGTGCATCAAACATGTATTTAAAGGTTAACAGTCTAGGGGGCGCTATGGAGCCGACGTGCCATTCCTCAAACCCAACTGCAATATCTGCAAAATATAAATATTTACCAGTTCAAACATGAGTGCAAGTTTACCATGAGGTTTTGAAAATCCTGAAGGCCTCAAACGTGTTTCGAAAATTAAAATTCATGCACAAAATCCAAAATGGATGACTTCCTTTCTGGCAAACTCTCGTAAGAAAAATGTAAATAAGTTCCTAATAATAGATGTATTTCAATCCCATTTGATCCCACCAACATTTTGTGAATATCAAAGCAACTTTATCCCAACACTACGTTTGGGGTTGCCATAGAGACCAATTTTCACTAGTTCTGATGTCTGTGCCCATTTTCATGAATTTTCAAAAATCAGAAATGTGTTGCAAAATGGGAAAAATAATAATCTCTGCAAATACAATGAAATTGCATCCTCTGCCCTCATGTAGGCCAATACAATATAACACAGAAGCCATTCTGTAGAATAAATGATTCTTTGAGCCAAAGCTTTTGCAGGAGAAGTGTCTCTGTTTCTACAATTTCCCTGCAGCCCATAAAGCATTTCCCCCATAGACCACCATTATAAAACAGACTGTCTGTAAAGCAGTTGACACTTCAAACTGCAAACAAGGTCAATTATGACTCTACTATGACTATTTGATCCATGAAGGTTTTACATTTGGAAATCTTCCTTTGAGCCATGCATGCCAATATATACAATATCACAACTGACTGTCTTATCCAAAGCTTCTGCAGAAGAAGAACTTGTGTTTCCAAGAAACCGGCTTGTCGGAAGAAAAAGGAAGGGACGAATAGTGTGAAAGTTTACTGGAAAGTGAAACTATTGTGTCACATTGCACAGCAGCCCTGTGTCAGTGTGTGGTCTCAGAGTATAAAAGAGAGAGTGATCTCTTGTTGTTGTACACCATCAGGAGTCCAGCCTGAAGAAAGACACAGAGGAGAGTGAGCCAGAACCTGTCTACAGCCACAACCATGAATCCAGCTGCCATTGCCTTTCTCACCTGCCTGTTTGTCTTCAGTGCACAAGGTACTGTCAACAGTTTAGTGTTCTGTGATTATGTTGTTGTTGTTATCTTCAATCTCAATATGCTCACCTTTCCTCTCACTGTATGTTCATATGGACTGTTTTGCTGAGTTTGAATAAATAAAAATGAAGGTAAATAGTCCATGACATTGATTTAAACAGTGATAGAGACAAAAAGAAGAGACAGCTGGGGGACTGTTGATTTAAACAAATGAATATTCAATAGTCAATATTATTGACTTTAAAATGTATGATATTTGGCTAATAATATCATTAAAGTTTGTCTTTAGATCTGAGGAAATTACAGAAACCAAATAGCACACTATTGTAATACCAAGAAAATTATTACATATACTCCAGAATACCTTTTTTCAGTTATAAGCAAGAGGCTTTGTTACAAAATTACGTCTAACCTTTTATCTCTGTCCACTGAAGTTGAATTCAACCAGTGACAATAGTTCTGCCTCCAGAGCAGCCTGCCTCTCATAAAACACTGATACATGTTCATTCTGAAGTCCGCGCACTGATTTGAAAGATGACCAACAGTTAATAAGGTTGTGTCTTTCTTCCCACAGGGCTACCAGCCAACAGATCTAATAAGTGCAAGTGTTTAGACGGTTACATCGAACACATCAGGCCACAGTCCATCAAGGCAGTACGGGCTGTACACCTCCCAGATATCTTCTGTCTACATACAGAGATTATGTGAGTATATGAGCTGGATTAAGTCACATTTACTGACATGTCATTGTCCAGCTTCTCTCTAACAAAGCTCTTTCTTCTCTCCCAGTATTACAACAACAGCAAATAAGGACAAATGTGTGGATCCAAAGTCTAAACTTGGAAAACTCATTCTGAATAACATGAACAAGTAAGATCAGCTGAACTGCACCAACTACAGACAACATAACACAGTGAATACTGTCACTGATTCAGATCTGCAGTGCTTTTTACTAATAGTGTCATATGTTGATTCAGGCAGAAGAAGAATGGAGCCGTGAGCACAACGACGGCTTCAAGCTCAACAAGACTCTACACAACATCCAGGCTGTAAGTCTGTGCACTGAAGAGGAAGTCAAATACTGCTGTTGTCATAGAAGGAGTTGTTCATCACCGTTGGACTCCGTCCATATCATCTACCGAGAGAGATCCTGCACGTCATCATCGGTGTCGTACATCCCTCCCTCTGCAAACCCAACATCCTGCTATGTGCCTCTGGTGAAGAGGAAGCCTGCGACCACTTTACACTTGCCATTTTTGCACATTAGAAAGTGGGACTTTAAATTAAACTATATATATATTATTAATATATGTATGTCTATTTCATATGGAGTATGTAACAAAAGTAATTCTGATTCTGATTACCTTTATCATGTAAATACAATAAGTGATCAAAATGTTGTCAGTGGCCAGTCTTCTGTTTGTGTTCTCTTAACTTAAACTGTCTTCACGTGTACATATGGAGTAAATAATCTGTATATACTTTTTAATAAAACACCTGATGGGACTTTCTGTGCTCTGTGTTTTACATGTTAACATAACCCACACTGAACCTATGCTCACATTCAACAGTCAGTATAATGTAGTCTGCAGTCTATATGTATGACCAAAAGTATGTGGACACCCAAACATCCCACCCACATTCTAATAGTTAAGCCTGTCATTAAAAACACATTAATGTGCCCAGAAATCAGCCAAGATGATGGTACCTGGTTGCAGAGATTTGCTTCTATCCAGACACAAGAGCATCAGGGAGGTCAAACACTGATGCTGGCTGACTGACCTTCTGTATTTGTCGACCTGAGAATCAGACTCAACAATCAACAACAAATCTTTCTCAGCTCTGATGGGTTGTGTTTATTAAGGCCCGGTGGATTCTTGCAGATGCCATTAGCAGCAGCAGGAGGAGCCAGAGGAACCTAAGTTTCCCACAGATCATCTGTCTCATGTACTACTGTCAGGATATAGTGAGTTTCAGGAAATGTGTGAAAAAAGTTATTTTCATAAACATCCCCTACTGCAGTTTTAACTGGTACAGTCCACTTATGTCACAGGCTATCTCAGTAACTTCACTGACATGATGTGAAGATGAGCCATAGCCTTCATTTTAACATTCGTTAGTTCACCCTCTCTGTGTGTTTGATCAAACGGTCTGGATATCATATATTATCCTGCTGCTTTGAACTTGTTAATTTATTATAATATTGCAGCTCTATTTGCTCCTAAAGTCACATTACAAAGAAAATATTTGTTAATGTTTTTCCAGCAAGAAACACTACGACAGCCAGCTATAGTATAGTTTAAGGAAAAAACTTCCTTTTAAGAGGCAGAAACCTCGGACAGACCCCTCGACTCTAGGTGGGTGGTGGTCTGCCTCGACCAGTTGGGGTGAGAGAGAGAGACAGAGAGAGTGCAGTATTGTAACATGTCATCGTCACATAGGCCAGTGGAGGGGGAACTTCAAAGGGGCTCATGTTCACACTGGATCTTTTTCTCATTCTTATGTGCATTAGAACAATCGGCAGGGCCTTTGTCCATGGCAGCCACGTTTCCTCACAGCATTTTGCTAGTTTTGATTTCAGAGTGCCATTTTCTCGTTCGACCGCACCTCCACTGGCAGGGTGATATGCACAATGTCGTCTGAGGTCAATGGCAAGAAAATCACTGATTTGGGTTATTGCAGAATTGAAAAAGTGTGTGCCATTATCGCTGCTCAGTTTAGTTGGTATTCCCCATCTGGGAATGATTTCTGTTAACAGAGCTTTTGCTACCACTTGGCTGCTTTGGTGTCTTGCTGGGAATGCTTCAACCCATTTTGACCACATGTCCACCATCACCAAGCAGTACTTCTTCCCTTCTGCTGGCGAAAGTTCTATGAAATCCATCATCAAATGTTCGAATGGTCTATCTGGTGGTGGGTGTGGGTCCGTGTATGTTTTGGTCATTGGATTTTCCTTTCAGAAACGGGTATTAAAAAACTGAAAACGAGTGATTATTTGATTTTCGTTTTAAAATACAAAAATTAAAATTGAAATACAAGGTGTTTTTCTTTTCCATGGTCAAAAAGGGATGAGCGAAATTAAAAAAATTATTCGATTTTCATTTTCTATTTCATATGACAAAAAATAAAATCACTAGAAAACAGAAACGGAAAAAAGGCCTGTTTTTTCATATTCTGAGACCGGATGTTGTCATTTACAGGACGGTGCTGTGTAGAAGAAACAGTAGGCTAGTAGACTGCGGTCAATCCAGCCGTGAGTCCGATCTCCGTAGTCAAATCAGCCGCACTTAAATTTAGTGTACAAGTATTCTCAGCATTATGGTAAATGCGGAGAAACAACGTATTTACTTCCGGTTTTCAAAATAAAGGTATTTAGAGCCGTAAGCTATAATTAAAATATGTTACATTAAAGTGTTTCATGCGCCCCTGATGAATAAAAAAACACTTTATATCAAGTATCTTTACTGCACCAGTGTGGAGAAATGCCAAAATAAAAGTCTCATATGTATGCCTCCAGAGATTGCATATTTGACCATATTTGAGGTACTGTAAAAACATATTGCTCAGTGTTTCCTGGCTACTGATGGTATATTTGACTTTTACACATATGAGACTACAAACATACTTGATATCAAGCATTTTTACTGTACAAATTTGGAGAAATTCAACAATAAAAGTCCCATATTTGTACCTCCATGTGGCATATTTTCATATATTTGAGGTACTGTAAAAACACTTTGCTCAATAATTCCTGGCTATGGATGGTATATCTGACTTCTACACATCTAAGACTACAAGTATACTTAATATCAAGCATTTTTACTGTACCAATTTGGAGAAATTGAAGAATAAAAGTCCCATATTTATACTTCCAGATTCAATTCAATTCAATTTCAATTCAATTTTATTTGTATAGCGCCAATTCATAACAGAAGTTATCTCAGGACACTTTTCAAATAGAGCAGGTCTAGACCGAACTCTTTAACATTAATTACAGAGACCCAACAGTACCACCATGAGCAAGCACTTGGCGACAAGGGCAAGGAAAAACTGCCTGTTAAAAGGCAGAAACCTAGGACAGATCCTCCGGCTCTAGGTGGGTGGTCGTCTGTCTCGACCAGTTGGGGTGAGAGAGAGAGAGAGAGAGAGAGAGAGAGAGAGAGAGAGAGAGAGAGAGAGAGAGAGGCAGAGAGAGAGAGAGAGCGAGAGAGAGAGGCAGAGAGAGAGAGAGCGAGAGACAGACAGACAGACAGGTGCACAGCAACAACAGTATTGGCAATGGCAGTCAAGCAGGACCATGGCAGGAGGCTCCACCAGGATCCATGAGAACCTGCGAGACGAGAAAGCACAAGAACTCCGGGGAAGAAGTGGAGTTAGTAACATGCATTAATGGGACATGAATGAGTGCAGAAAGAGAGAGGCAGAGAGGAGCTCAGTGCACCATGGGAAATCCCCCAATAGTCTAGGCCTATAGCAGCATAACTAAGGGATGGTTCAGGACTCACCTGATCCAGCCCTAACTATAAGCTTTATCAAAGAGGAATGTCTTAAGCCTACTCTTGAATGTGGTGAGGGTGTCTGCCTCCCGAACCACAACTGGAAGCTGGTTCCACAGGAGAGGAGCTTGGTAACTGAAGGCTCTGGCTCCTGTTCTACTTTTAGAGACTATAGGAACCACAAGTAGCCCAGCATTCAGAGAACGTAGTGTTCTAGTGGGGTAATAGGGTACTATGAGCTCTTTAAGATATGAAGGGGCCTGACCATGAAGAGCTTTATAGGTGAGGAGGAGGATTTTAAATTCAATTCTACATTTTACAGGGAGCCAATGCAGAGAAGCTAGTACAGGAGAGATGTGATCTCTTTTTCTAGTTCCTGTCAGTACTAGTGCTGCAGCGTTCTGAATTAATTGGAGCGTTTTAATGGACTTATTGGGGCAACCTGATAATAAAGAGTTGCATGGATTAGTTTTTCTGCATCTGTCTGTGATAGGATGTGTCTAATTTTTCTAATATTACGTAAATGAAAGAAGGCGGTCCTAGATTCCATATTTTCTTATATTTTTGAGCTACTGTAAAAACATATTGCTCAATATTTCCAGGCTATGGGTGAAGCATTTTCATTATACTTCAATAATGATGCAGTAATCGTGACAAAATTTCACACAAATGTTAAATAACATCTTGATAAGATAAACACTAAACACTAACACAAAATCCTACACAATTCTAATTTGTTTACTTTTCACACAAAATGCAATGCCAGTCCACATTCTTCTTATTTTGCTGCTCTGCTGTGTCCATTTGTAGGTAAAAGGGAAAAATAATTAGTTTTAACTTCAAAACACCATTGTACCTACTGTCTCTTCCTCACATATTATTTTTTATATTATTCAGTGTGACAGCTGTTGCAGGTGGTTCCACATACAGTTTACATTTTTACAGTAGCTCAAATATAAGAAAATATGGAATCTGGAAGTATAAATATGGGACTTTTATTCTTCAATTTCTCCACATTGATACAGTAAAAATGCTTGATATTAAGTATACTTGTAGTCTTAGATGTGTAGAAGTCAAATATATCATCCATAGCCAGGAATTATTGAGCAAAGTGTTTTTTCAGTAGCTTAAATATATGAAAATACCACTTGGAGGTACAAATATGGACCTTTATTGTTGAATTTCTCCAAATTGGTACAGTAAAAATGCTTGATATTAAGTATGTTTGTAGTCTCATATGTGTAAAAGTCAAATATACCATCAGTAGCCAGGAAACACTGAGCAATATGTTTTTACAGTACCTCAAATATGGTCAAATATGCAATCTCTGGAGGCATAAATATGAGACTTTTATTTTGGCATTTCTCCACACTGGTGCAGTAAAGATACTTGATATAAAGTGTTTTTTTATTCATCAGGGGCACAACACTTTAATGTAACATATTTTAATTATAGCTTACTGTTCTAAATACCTTTATTTTGAAAACCGGAAGTAAATACGCTGTTTCTCCGCATTTACCATAATGCTGAGAATACTTGTACACTCTAAATTTAAGTGCGGCTGATTTGACCACGGAGATCGGACTCACGGCTGGATTGACCGCAGTCTACTAGCCTACTGTTTCTTCTACACAGCACCATCCTGTAAATGACAACATCCGGTCTCAGAATATGAAAAAACAGGCCTTTTTTCCGTTTCTGTTTTCTAGTGATTTTATTTTTTGTTATATGAAATACAAAATGAAAATCGAATAATTTTTTTAATTTCGCTCATCCCTTTCTGACCATGAAAAAGAAAAACGCCTTGTATTTCAATTTAAATTTTTGTATTTTAAAACGAAAAACATTTAATTTAGATTAGATTAGAT